GAGACTTGGAGAGAAGACACTTGGAATGCAAAGTGGCACAGGTTGATGGTCGATCACCATGACACCCAATTGTTTATTACTTATCTTCTCTTCTCTAGCTTGCTAGTAAGTTATTTTGCTCATAAATTTTAGTCCGAATTTTTTCACTCAATCCTCTTTTCCCTCTTGGTCAACATCTCATGGGACTAATGTCTCAATTTTTGCCAAAGTTTCCAATAATAGCTAGCTTTCCTTCCATATACACCCATGGCCGATTGTTTGCCCTTGCAAGGTGTCCTAATTTCCTCTCAACCAACCATCTATTCTCCCTTTATCTTTCCATGACCAATGGACTACTTCTTTGTGTCCTTAATTCTTTCATAGCTTGACATCTAGCCAAGGAGAAAAATGGCCAAGCTTGGGGGAAAAATTCCCCAATTAAGGGAAAAGTACTCCTTATGCGATATAATTTTCTTTTCTCCTTCATTAATTGTTTTTCTTCCATTTTCATTTTGCTTTCTCAATTGTTGTTGTTTCATACAATAGATATTTTCTCTAATTTTCACTTTTCTTACTTGAGAGAAAATATTTTCCGTCACGAGGTATTCTTCTCTACCACTCGAGGGATTTTTTCTCCCATTTACCCTAGGAACTTCCGTTTTTTCTTTCTTTCACTTTTCTCATTTTTCTCTCCTTCTTGGGATGTTTTTCTCCATATTAGGATGTTGTTTTTGCCTAGAGTTCTTTGCCTAAGAAAACCCTTTTTCTTTTCAAAGAAAAAATTCTTACCCGTGGAAAATTTCTCTCCTGAATAACCTTTTTCTTCTTTCAATTTCCTAATTTCTCTCCTGGATAATTTTTCTCTCTTTAGAGATGTTTTTCTCCTTCTTAATTTCTCTTCAATTTTTTTTTATTTTTGCCTTAGGAAAATTTTATTATTTACTCAGAAAAAATTTCTCTCACAGGAGAAATAAAATTTCTCATTCACTATTTCTTTTCCCCCAGGGTCATTTTTCTTTTCCCATATACCTAACAATTTTTTTTAATTCCTAATTTCACTAAAACAATATTCTTCGAATTAAATATCTTGCAAAAAAATCATTTCAAAATAATGCAAATTATATTAAAACATTACCATATGTAAATTATTCTTTTTTGCATTATTACAGAGGAGCCTTTTAATGGCTCCAACTTACGTGAATTATCATATCTGTAATATGATTATTAAGGTTAGTTTTCGTGCATTTAAGGCATTGGCTTCAGAGTTGAGATAACAACGTAGACCCAATGTTGAGGAAGAGATGAAGATTCTTTTGAATCGTGATTAGAATGCCAAAGTGATTCATGTTCACAAGAAAGGTGACACCTGTGCCAATTATTAGGTTGATTAGGCTCACGAAAGTTATGAGGTGACGTGGGGTAGTATGAGGAGAATCGTTTTGAGTCCCCGAACTTTGACCTAATCGCATGCAATATCAAAATTCAAACAACCTAATTAAAACCCTTCCCTTTAATTGAATTCACAATCCTAAAAATTAGAAATGTAAAAATAAAAACTAGGGAAACAAAAACAAAGAAAAAAAGACACTATAAATTTACCCGATAAGTTGATCCCAACTCCTTGACTCAATCAAGACTTCGCACGCTCACCTAACTTAAAAGAACCTAAAGAGAAAAATTAGCACAATGCTAATAAAAGCATAAAGCTTGATTTATTTATTATTAAGAAGATTGTGTTTATAATGCTTGAGTTAAAGCCTTTATATAGGCTCTTAATTACTACTTCAATAGGGAATAAGATTTAGAAATTCTATCCAAATTTTAGGATTTATTGTAATTAGAAAACAAATACTTAATTAATTAAATAATAAAATTCTAACCTAATTTGAATTTAAATACATAAAATAAGTACTTATCCTTATCCGAATTCTAAAATAATAATTAATTAATCCAATGGATAAGTCTTACATTAACATATTAATAAAATAATATTTATTAATGGTCTCCTCCTAATTCTTCAAGGACATCTTCTCTTTAACCTTGAATAGAATTCTACCTTTATAATTAGTATATTTTCCACATGAAAAAATTTGGGAACTTGGATATATTGTGGAAGTAGAAAAAGTTAAAAATTTTGAGTAAAAAAAGGATTAAAGAAGAAGGATCGCTTGGGTTGGTTGTTGGGGCACGGACAAAGTTGTGGATTGCATGGGCTGGGCCATGGGTTCCCGAATGGGCTGGTTGGGTTGCACGACCCTCTCCCAAATGCATGTGACGTGCGCGTGATTGATCGATTTGCGTGCATGCAAGCTACTGTGCGTATGCTAGCGCGCGAACCACACGCCTCACATGCTCCTTCACGTGGGTGAGGCTCTCGCATGTGCAGGTGGTCTTTCCTGCATGTGTGGTGATTCACACTCGTGCTGAAAACATATCACATATATGGCACGTACTGACTCATGCTTTCCCGATCCGAACTGCTTCTTGTGGGCCTTTTCTTGAGCTTCGAAGGGGAGTTCGTTATTCACCAATTCTTGAACCAAAAGGTTAAAAATATTCAGAAATTGCTTAGCCTAACTTCGGGTAATCGGTCCTGGGGGTATTTAAATTTTACTTCCTATTGACCTCAGTTCGTCATGGTCTCCCTGAGATGTCCCTTCTTCCACTAGAGTGTTAACTGTCACATCATCCCCCCTTATTCGTGAGGATTCATCCTCAAATCGTCAACTACATTAAAAGGAGAAAAATAAAAAAATATTAAAAGTAACAGATACTCCATACACTTATAATATATCAATCTTGTAAGCATTGTCGTTGATACGCTCCAAGACTCGGTGATACGAAATTCGAGATCAATAACATAACTCAAAGCCCCGCATATACATCACCAACCAGAAATTTAAAACCTTGCACATACATCACCAACCAGAAATTCAAAACCCTAAGTAAACCCTCCCTACTTGACTCGCACTCAACACGGTAGTGAAAACCAAAGTTATAGGGAAAGAACAAAATTTAGAATTAAAAAGATGCAACAAGACTTACCTCAATAAGTGATCTCAATCTTTTGCTCAACAAGTCAGTTGAACACATGCTCACTGAACTCACTCTTGAAAGTAAAAAAATCTGAATATTATTGAAACCTAAATTGTCCCTACAAGAAGGGGTGGTGGCCTCTAT